CATTTATTATTAGTATAAATAAGACACACTTCCCTTGGCCTTTCAAGACAATACTGGAGCCTAGAAGTGAACAGAGAAGCAGCACCGAGAATCACAATGATGAACAGTCATCGTTCAGCCTTGATTTGCTGCCACATTTACCTCCAGCCCCCATTCTGTCCTCTAACTTCAAACAGAGGTGATGTTATAAACGCTTTAAGCAGCAGCCAAGTTCTTATTATATCGTTATTTGGTATTATATATGTGTTATTTATGTTGGATAACCTAACCTACTTTTCAATAACTAAAATGTAATTTTTGCCATTATAGTTTTAATGAGTAAGCGCTAGACCTACAAGTGCTAGACATCAAGAATCCCTCACCAGCATCAAGGCCAGTAGGCCTTCTGCAGTGTTCCTCTATTCTTATGTTATGTAAGAATCACTCAACACCAGTATCAAGAATCCCTCATCAACATCAATGTACCTTATTGGAAGATATTATTTTTGTTAGGTCGTACATTAGTCGACACATTGCAACGCGTGCAAAAACGGACGTTCTATCTGGAAGAGTGGTGTTAAGAGGCAGGTGTTGCGAGGAGCATCACGACCTAACTAGCGGCTCGGCAAGAAAACTTTACGGTGAAAACAACTCGTTACGTAATGTTTAGCTGGTGATTAGGAGCCGACCCATGGCCAAATATATTTTATATTCGCACAGCTCACTTGGGAGCCTTTTCAAGACCAGAATTTGTTTATATTATATATATATATATATATATATATATATATATATATATATATATATATATATATATATATATATATATATATATTATATATATATATTATTATATTATATATATATATTATATATATATATATATAATATGTGTGTGTGTGTGTAGTGTGTGTGTTGTGTGTGTGTGTGTGTGTGTGTGTGTGTGTGGTGTGTGTGTGTGTGTGTGTGTGTGTGGTGTGGTGCCGAATAGGAAAAAAACTTGCTATATTGGCTTAAACAGCAACGCCCTTCTTGCCGAATAAGGCAAGCGAAAATTTGTTTATGCAATAATTTCGCAAAAATCATTCTGAACCTAACGAAAAAAATATATTTCCTTGTTTATTATTAAATTATTGTGAACTTACCTAAAATATATTTAGTTGGATTAGGGTAAACTAAATTTCGTTTGTTATGAGGTTAGGTAAGCTTTCTAAGGTTCATTTGTACAAAATTACTAAGTTTTGCATTAACATAAATGAAAAAAATATATCTTTAAACGTATAAGAAATTTTTTAAGAAAGGACTTAATTTTAAATGAATTCTTGCTAATTGACCAGTTTTACCTATTCGGCACGACATATAATATAATATTTATATGTCGGATGAGTTTGAGAATGTGTGTCAAGGTTGAAAGTTGAAAGTGAACATAGAAAAGAGTAAGGTGATGAGGGTATCAAATGATTTAGATAAAGAAAAATTGGATATCAAATTGGGGATTAGGAGTATGGAAGAAGTGAATGTTTTCAGATACTTGGGAGTTGACGTGTCGGCGGATGGATTTATGAAGGATGAGGTTAATCATAGAATTGATGAGGGAAAAAAGGTGAGTGGTGCGTTGAGGTATATGTGGAGTCAAAAAACGTTATCTATGGAGGCAAAGAAGGGAATGTATGAAAGTATAGTAGTACCAACACTCTTATATGGATGTGAAGCTTGGGTGGTAAATGCAGCAGCGAGGAGACGGTTGGAGGCAGTGGAGATGTCCTGTCTAAGGGCAATGTGTGGTGTAAATATTATGCAGAAAATTCGGAGTGTGGAAATTAGGAGAAGGTGTGGAGTTAATAAAAGCATTAGTCAGAGGGCAGAAGAGGGGTTGTTGAGGTGGTTTGGTCATTTAGAGAGAATGGATCAAAGTAGAATGACATGGAAAGCATATAAATCTATAGGGAAGGAAAGAGGGGTAGGGGTCGTCCTCGAAAGGGTTGGAAAGAGGGGGTAAAGGAGGTCTTGTGGGCGAGGGGCTTGGACTTCCAGCAAGCGTGCATGAGCGTGTTAGATAGGAGTGAATGGAGACGAATGATACTTGGGACCTGACGATCTGTTGGAGTGTGAGCAGGGTAATATTTAGTGAAGGGATTCAGGGAAACCGGTTATTTTCTTATAGTCGGACTTGAGTCCTGGGAAATGGGAAGTACAATGCTGCACTTTAAAGGAGGGGTTTTTTTTTTTTGGGGATATTGGCAGTTTGGGGGGATATGTTGTGTATCTTTTTTACGTATATGCTTCTAAACTGTTGTATTCTGAGCACCTCTGCAAAAGCAGTGATAATGTGTGAGTGTGGTGAAAGTGTTGAATGATGATGAAAGTATTTTCTTTTTGGGGATTTTCTTTCTTTTTTGGGTCACCTGCCTCGGTGGGAGACGACCAACTTGTTGAAAAATATATATTATATATATATATATATATATATATATATATATATATATATATATATATATATATATATATATATATAATATATATATATATATACATTATCTCTACGTCAATAGCAGAACTCGAACCTGCTAACTCTGTATCAGAATCCATAGTACTTTACCAATGAGCTAGACCAGTCTAGCTCAGTGGTAAAGTACTGTGGACTCTGATACAGTTAGCAGGTTCGAGTCCTGCTGTGGACATAGAGACAATGTTTGTAAATAATTTCGCCTGTTTGCGGAATTCTTAAGTATATATATTTATATATATATTATTATATATATATATATATATATATATATATATATATATATATATATATGTCGTGCCGAATATGTAAAACTGGTCAGTTAGCAAGAACTCATTTAAAATTAAGTCCTTTCTAAAATTTTCTCTTATACGTTTAAAGATATATTTTTTTCATTAATGTTAATGTCAAAATTTTTAATTTTGCACCAAAAGAATCTTAGAAAACTTACCTAATCTTATTATAACAAGAACAATTTATTTTAGTCTAACCCAACTAAATATATTTTAGATTTGTTTACAATAATTTAATACTAAACAAACACAGTGAAATATATTTTTTCG